ACAGAGATATTACAGGAGAGTATCAATTTGCAGGGGACTGAGTCACGAGCCTTTCTGGATCCCATCCAACAGCTCTCAGCTGTTAAGGAGAGTACAAAGAGTAAGGGAAGCAGAGACAGAAGTCAACAGTGATGTGAAAAACCTCATGGCAAGCCAACTGATTTCATTTTCATTTTTCCTCTAAATACCATTAATTGAAATACAATTTTTAATGTCACACAAGGTGCAGCATCCTCCGAAACTCTTATCATCAGCTCTTGACCCAGAATGTATATAGATGCCCAGGAGCCAAGTAGGATCTTGCATTGTTCATAAAAAGAGTACTCCCTGGGAGAAGCAGGAAAAGTCATTTCTTTCTTTCAAGTCTCAAACAAGGTCAAGAGGGACAGCCTCTTAATGCTGATACTGTAGTCAAGACTAGGGCACTTAAGGCAGCCACATGCTAGTCTCAGATGGCTTAGTCCTCACCCATGATCCCAATCTGTGAGCTTGGTGGGGGAGGGGCTGGATTTTTTTGTCTTATTTTTATCTGAAACCCAGTAGTTACATTGGAATACTCAATGGCATAAAACACTCTTAGATTATCAGAGCAAAGAAACAAAGAGAACAAAGAGTTTAAATATACATGGGTTCATATATATACATATATTCACACATAGTCACACACACACACACACATATGTGTGTGTGTGTATGTGTATATATATGTATATATATGACATTCATTGAAGCACCAAGACCAATGATGTCTCTATCACAAAACATGGGGTTTTTTTTTTGGTGAATTATGTGCTATGAGGTCTGCATTCCAAGCATCTACTTCTTGGGCCTTGAAATCCATGTGACCTCAGAGAACACAGATTAAGATAACAATAATATTCACACTGAAAAGTAAACAAGTGCACATAATTTTTAACATTTATTTAAATCATGAGTATTGTGTCATTTCAAGTTGCATCATTAGTTTTAGGCTATTTTTATAAATTCTCTCTATTCATTATTTAAAGATTTACAAAAGAAATAGTGTATAATTTGTTTCAGAAATTTAAAATACAAACAACAGATCTTAAAAGACATTTTTGAATGGCAGAGAATCACAGCCACAATCAACGAAGTTTCTTGACCTTCTGTAACAGATTCATCATAGAGCTAAATGGAATGTGTGATGGTAAATAGACTCAACACTTGGTATTTATATGCTAACCAAGGATCCTAGAGAAGAGTTGGATATATGCACATTAAATCATATCTAAAAATAAAGGGATGTAATTGAGATTTTAGGATGAAATATACTCCAAAGACAGGCTCTTGGAAGTTAAGGGAGGATGAGTCTCATGAGAGATTTCTTTGAGAAGAAACAAACAAACAAACAAAAAAAAACAAAACAAGAGAGAAAGGCTTAAGGCATCTGAGAATGGGCCGAAATAGAAAAAAGAGAAAAGGTGACTGTCAGGAAATCAGTAGTCAAGTTTGCCATAATGGTGTCCCAGGGCAGCAATTAGAGTGGATCCTAAACCAAACGGCCAGAGGACACCTGGTGGTGGCACAGAGATGATAGTTCTGGGAAGGGACTTCTGCCCTCTGCTGAGGCTTGGGCTATTTAGGAAATGAGGATTAGTGCCTGAGAAAGGGTGAAGAATGCATCTTGGTCAAACTGCAGACAATGTGGGCTCTGAGGAACCTCGAGAAAACTATGGTCTGAATTATGAAGCAGCACATACCCAAGAGCCTGAACATGGAAGAGGTGATTTTTACTATACAGGCTAGTGGTTAGGACATGTGTCCTGGACTATGACTCCCTGGAATTGAATTGTGGCTCTGGCTCCTGTTCTGTCCATTGGCAAATTGTTTAACTTCACTGGGGTTTCAACTCATTAATATAAAAATGTAGGTAAAAATTCTTATAGAGCTGTTAGGAAGATTAAATATTTTATTATATGAAGGCCCTTAGAACAGGGCCTGACATCTAAGAAGCACCACATTAATGTTAGCTTTTATTATATGCCTTTCATATACTTAATGTTTGATGTTTAAATTGTATTTTCTTTTTAATAGCGCTTGTTTCACATTCAGATATTCTTAGAAGTGGGGAAGTGGGAATATGTCTTCTGCTTTACTTGGGAGAATTTGATGTAACTGACCAACATACTAATTAAGGTGGTATACAGGACAGTATGTAATTCAGTAATAAATTAAGTATAGCACAAACGATGACATGCTCTGTAGAATTATAGAAGAGTACTTCTGAATAATCAGAGTAGATTTTTCAGTAGAATATTCCAGAGTACTGGAATAATCAGAGAAGATTTCATGGATGTGGTACTAGTGGACTATCAAGAGATGTGTAGGATTGAAAGTGACAGCAGGCTCCCTCTTTGTTCCTGACATTTTACGATTCTGTGGGACCATTTCTGCCGAGGCTAGAAATGAGAGTTAAATAGGAATGAATGTGCATTGAGAAAATGCTCTACCCAGAAAAGGACTGATTTGGGAATGAGGAAGGGAGATGGATAAGTCTTGATAAAGACAATGAGATTAAAAAGTCCTAGGAAGTAAGAGATAGGAAATAGCAAGTCAAGGAAAGTTAATCGAACAGAGAAATGATATGTCCTCGTTTACATAACTAGATGCCTTTTAAGTCTGCAATGGTGAACAAGTTCTTTATCACAAAGTTGTTTGATTAACAGAACATACTACATAACACCTGCAAGTGGGAAGATTAGCCTGGCAGAGGTACGCAGGCAGGTTAATGAGGTGTCTCTCACCACCATGAGGTTCCTGGGGTCAGATCCACTTCCCACACTGGTTCATGTGCTCTTGGATGGGAAGGGGAGATGAGGCACCCTTGGCAAGCAAGCTCACCCGTATCCAAGATCATGCACTTCACAGATCTGGATGTGTCAGATGAAGTAGAGGGACTGGAAGGGATGGGACTCTGGCAGACAAAGCCTGTTTATATTTTTCCTTTGATCCAGGCCTGAAAGAGCTTTCTTCATCCAAATCAATGTATATCTTTGCCTTTTTTTTTTTTTAACTGGAAGGGGGAACTATTGGTAAACTGCAGCACTATAATTTCTCTGTCCAAGCAATGGCCCATTTCAAATGCCAGTCCTCCAGCCCAAGCACACATTTCTTCCCTCCACCTTTCTGGCCCTCTCCACGGTCCTCTCTGCCTCCCCACCCAGCCTGGCCAATGTGGCAATCATTGCGCCAGCCATGCTGCAGTCCACTGAAAAGAAAGGAGTCTCCCTCAGATCCTCTCCTGAAGAGATAACCTGAGGGGGTATTTTTGGTCGCATGTGAATGCACCCACACTGGATGGAGTTAAGTGGACCAGGGGTGGGCAGGAAGAGAGAAAGGACTGAATTCCTGCTGTTGTGGTCCCTGGAGCTGCCTTGAACTCCAAAGGACCTTCCAGGCTCTGTGACAGTTGTGTTTCTGCTCTTTAGGCTAAGTTGTTAGCCTTTCCTGGGTTTTCTCATTCAAGGTACCTGTTCCCATTAGTTAAAATAAGTTGATAATTCCTCATCTTTGAAACAAAGTGTCTTTGGCCACAGTCAATTGTCAACTAATATTTGTAATTATATTAGTAGATATAAACAAATATTTCTTTCAGAGGTACCTGAACTATTAAAGGGCAGGTTTTAAGACTGAAAAAACCTGCCAGATTCTTCTAATGAATCTCTAATAGAATTTAAAAACTAACTAGGTAGCAGGAAGGTATTTCTTTTTAACAAGGGCTCTGCCTGATGTTCCTTAACATTATACAATTTCAATTTTCCAGATATTGAATGCTGGAAAAACCCTGGACCAGAGGAATCAGAAGACTTGGGTCCTAGTCCTTGCTACTTCTGTTAATCTTGGGCAAGGCTCTTAAATTCTCTGGATCTTGATTTTCTCATTTGAATGTTTACTGTCAGAATAAGCTATCAGGGCTCTTCCAGCTGTAATATCCTATAATTCTGTCACATTGCTTCTATTCAACCACAAGGGTAGCCTATCCTTTAAAGTTTGTGAAGCAGAAATCTCTAAGACAAGTGAAATTCTCCAAGTGTGTAGGACGTCACCATGAAGCCTCACTACACCCTGGGAAAGGTTTTATTATGATTAATGTTTTCTTCAAAAACATACATTCCATTAAAAAGAATATATTCTGTGTTTATAAATTTCCAGTTAAAAAATATTGGAACAATTATAAATTAGACTCAAATAAGATTCACTATTAAGAGGCTACAGGAAAGAAAGAATGTTTTTCTCTGCTTAGTCTGTTTACTAAAAACATAATTATGGCTAACATCAATTGAGCACTAGGAAAGAAAGAATGATGTTTTTCTCTGCTTAGTCTGTTTACTAAAAACATAATTATGGCTAACATCAATTGAGCACCTAAAACATGCAAGGAATTAGGACATCCATCCAAAGAGGAAAGTTTAAAAGGATCTGATATTATAAAATCCACCAGTGTTTTGACAATGATTTGGGGTCTAACTGATATTCACCATATTCCACCCGGACTCTTACCATGATGAACACTCGTGTTTTCCCAGACTTAATAAAAATTAGATTAAAAATAGAAGACAGTCACAGGTCTTTGACCAAATATTCCAATATTTGTATTGTCTTACAGATGAAAGCAGAGAGCCCATATCTCATCATAAATCTCTTTTTCCAAATTGTTTTTCTGGACAGAGTTCAAGTAGAACAGACAATTTATTTATGTCAGCTCTTGCTCTTTTCAATGACCTCTCACTGAGCAATCTGTTAGATGAAGAGGCTGGTTAGCAAACAATAGCATACTACAGAAACACTGACTACGGCCTTTTCCTCTAAATTCACATTGCTCTCTTTCTGCTCTTTGCAAAAGAGGACACGAGGTGATTCTAGGAAGGATAGCTTCATACTGATTACTGGTCAACCTGAAATCATCTCAAATGTGACACATGTGTCTGCACACATGCATACATGTACATGCACGCTCACACAATCACAGCTGATCTTACCTGGTAAAATGACTTGTTGCTTCCAGGTTTGTGTCTTGTGGACGAAGATTATTATACACATATTTCAGGTCTTGGATTCCACTTAGCTCAGGCAATCCTGCATGTAGCATCTTAACAACAACAACAAAATTCCCCAAACCAAAAAGAAAAAGAATAAAGGCAGATAAAATCAAGCTTACTTAGTTAATTCTACTGGACAAACATAGAAACATGGTTGTATAGCAATACCTTTCAGTTTGTAAACATGAATAAATACAAGTTCATGCTTTTAAACCTCTCCTATTTAGTAGTAGAAGCAATAGAAATAATAACGATAATTGTAGAAAGAACCACTATAATTGGCAAAGTGCTTATAGATTAATAATTCAATTTTATTCTCATCACAAACCAATGAAGAAAGCATGATAAAATTATTATCCCCATGTCAGAATTTCTGGACCCACCATGTAAAATCTGATTTTCAGAAAGTCCCTTAACCTCTTTGAGCCTCCATTTTCTCATTTCTAAGGTAGGTATAAATATGCCCAACTTGATCTGGGAGAATTCAAATAACACATGAATAAGAGAGAGCCTTATTCATTACAAAATATCACACAAAAAATATATAATAATATCCACTTAAAGAGCAAAAGCTTAATCTCCAGAACATTGCAAGGGATAATGTCCAGGTCAAATGACGTATAAGCATAGAATATAAAACTCACCCCTCTTGTTTTTAATTCTATGTTCTTTCATGACTCCATGACTCATGCTATGAGAACACAGTCTTCCTAGTTAAGTGGTGACTGTATTTATTAAATAGCATTAAAACAATGAAATAATTAAGGATAAAATTATACAGGTATTTTGCTCTAATCTTTAGGAAGATATTATGCTTCTTTACATAATGTAGAATATGCTTCTTTACATAATGTAGAATATGCTTCTTTACATAATGTAGTGTAGAGATGTGCAGAGGGAATCAAGATACTTTCTTTAGAAAGAAATCCAGGATGGCTTTCTGAAACACAGGGTATCATGCAGGTGAGCGGCAAGAGACGGGGCCCAAAAGGCAATAGAGATGTGCAGAGGGAATCAAGATACTTTCTTTAGAAAGAAATCCAGAATGGCTTTCTGAAACACAGGGTATCATGCAGGTGAGCGGCAAGAGACGGGGCCCAAAAGGCAAGCAGAACACGATTCCACTTAGCTGGAATCCATTCAGCAATATTAAAGATTTGTACTTTATCCCAAAGGCAAGCGAAAACTTTTAATATGGGAATGAAATAATTGAATTGTGTTTTGGAAAGCTCATCATGGTTCCGTATGGAGAATGGATTAAGCGAGGCCAAATAAGAGGCTAGACTAGGAGACTGGTTAGGAGTGGAGATAAGTTATTGGATTTTAAATATATGTAGGAAGTAGAATTGTGAAAATTGGGTGATTGATTGGATGTACTGGGAAGGCTGAGAGAGGTCCAAAGCGTACAGCTGTAAATATGGATTTGGGAGTCATTAGCATATAGATGATAATAGAAACCAGGGAACTGGATCCATTAGTTCCAGAGAGTTGTCGAATGCCTTGCCTCATGGATGATCCATTCACATCTCAGGTTCATTATGTCTAAATTTGAGCAAATACTCTTCTCCTATAAAATTTTCCTCCTTTTCCCTGTTTCATATCTCCACTTCCCCTGTTACCACTTTCCAACTAGCAAGAAATACATATCTTTTTGATTTCCTCTTTTTCCCCGATTCCAATCATCGGTTACTTAATTCTATTACAAACACCTCAACAGTCTCTTGTATTCATACACTTTCCAACTAACAAGAAATACATATCTTTTTGATTTCCTCTTTTTCTCCGATTCCAATCATCGGTTACTTAATTCTATTACAAACACCTCAACAGTCTCTTGTATTCATTCCTTCTTTTCATGGTAAATACCATTGTTCTAGTTCAGCTCCTCATCTTCAGTTGTCTAGATTTCTTGAACAGCTCTCTCCTCGTTCTCCAGTCCCTATCTCTTTAATCACATTTACCTTTATCTGTATAAAATCCCAGCTAGATGATGGTACTCTTTCATTATAAACAAGCAAGCTTCGAATTTCTCAAGAGTCTATGCAGTAAAGCCTAAAATCCTCATTCAAAAATGCCTTCCACAATCTACCCATGATCTATCATTTCTGTCTTGCTTTCTACAGAGAGCTGCATCTGTACCACCAACTGGGTAAACCTGATTACCTTCATCTCCAACACCTCATGCCCAGGCTTTCAAAACCTCTGTACAAACTTATATTTTTCTCTCATCCAGGAATGCCTTTTCTCTCCCTCCTTGTCTACTGAAATTCTTTTTCAAGGCTCAATACTACTTAAATGCTACTTAAAAACTACTCCCCCCCTGGAACATCACTGATCCTCTTGATGAGATTTAATTACTGCTTTCTTCGTACAGCAATCGTAACTTGGTTCTGCTTCTTTCACAGTACTTATTGCTTCCTAGCTTTTACTACGTTTGTTCATATATATCTTTGTCACGTTAGGTTTTAACTTCTTTGAGAACAGGAAAAGGATTTTTATTCAACGTTGAATTGTCTATATTGTCTAACTTGGTGCTTTGTCAGGAGTTGAAAAGTAATGAACCTCTGTGGAAGAACGAATGCATGCGTGCCTGAATGAATGAACTGAACGAATGAAAAAATATCTGATGCTATTAGGCATTGAAAATCTAATAATAGCAAATTTAACACTGGCACTATACTTAACAAAATCAACCATAGGGAGACACATTTCTAACAACAATTAAAATCTGGATTAGGTTTTATGTGATCAGTTCTGTACTTAGAGTTCTAGAGACATCTGTGGGCTCATTGAGGCAGATTTATTCTTTATCACATATCATCATCCATTTTCTAAGAACAACCTTTTTCTCTAGGGTCTGAATTGCATTCTAGTTTCTCTGCATACCGTGAATTCACACCTGCTTGGTTAGAACTCTGTCAAACATTTCCTTGGGAAGTGGACCCTACACTTACTCCTTCCCCTGCTAACACACACACACACGTTACACACACACACACACACACACACACATATTACACACCAGCTTCCAAGTGCAGACTGCTTGAAGCCAGATGAACCAAGTTCTCTCCCCATCACATGGCTGACTAGAGGTAACAAGTGCTAAGTTTGCCCTTTTTCATGTGTCCCATTCCTTGGAGAGGAGGCTTTGAGTGTCGTGACTCTGCACATCACAAAGTAAGGATGGCCTCATAGCTGGGTCCACATGTCTGTTCTCTGACCCACAACAATGAGGTTCAAGTGCCTCCTAGCCTAGACTGCATGACTAACCACTTTAATTGGGGCAATAGGAAAGGGAAGGGGTGGCTAGGACAGATAATGAACAGATGCAGGTAATGAATAGGTAAGTCCCCTTTTAAAAGACAGAAACATTTTTAACATTGCTACTTCTGTTCTACTAAGTCCAATTTAATTTGATAGCTATGCTTAGGGAAGCAGACTCGCTTCCCCACTACACAGAAAAGTTAGAAAGATTTCTGCTGGGAAATATCTGATACAATAATGGGTGTGATAAACATTTTAAACTGGGTGAATGGTCCCTGTGTTCTTTGGGAGCCTTCCATAATAGTCGATATTGATTTTTTAATGAGAAAAAAAGCTGACGAAATATGGGCTTTTATGTTAGTGAACTCAGCCAGAAACACTCTTGGGTCTCCTACAGACGTTGCTTTTAAGCAAGATGGGAATTTCATGGATTATTTTTTCCTTGCTTTTCCCAGGAGTAAATAAAAAGCACTGCAGATATCTGAAAACGTTCTGCTTTCTACCAAGGATGAGCCATTAACTCCATAGTAGACCCCAATATGCCTGAGGCTCATAATCCTGGGTACTGACCATTCACAGAAGATAGAATTTATGACCCATGTTAAGTGTTTCTCAAGTTGTAACTGGGTCATGGTATAGTAAATGGAATTTTCTAAAAAAATTTAACGTAAGAGTCAGCTTAAGACAGAATTGAGGGAAGATATATTATATACATAAGTAGAAAATGGTCTTTTGCACATTTAAATTTGGTTTTTATTTTAAAAGAAGTTATACCAGAGAAAGTGTGTGCCTGAAACTTTCACCAAATGCTTTGATTATCTACAGAGTTCCATAAGATAAATACTTGAGAAGAAGAAAGAAATTAAAAGGTAAATGACCAGAAATTGAGGTAATAACACACTGCTATTTTACATGTATTTATTCATTGGTTTAATTGGTCCACATTGCTTCTGATTTCTATTTCAATTTCTGTGAAAGTCTATGTGTAAGATTATACACTTAATCTAAATTAGCACCTTCCACTGCCAAAGTTTCTTCCTCATCCTAAAGGTCAAGACTTAAATAATTAGAACATAGGGAGATTTTTGGATATACTACATACCAGAAACTTGCAAAAGCTTATTTTAATATTTGTGAGAAATTATTTTAATACTTGTGAATAAAATACCATATATGTACTTCTTTTAAATGAAATAAAATTGCATAAACTCTTTACTCTAATTATTGCTTAATGTAATGCTGAATCTTTTTTTAAAAGTATGTAGAAAAGTTTATTAAACAAGAGAAAAAAGCCCACCAATAGTTTTCTGAATCTATTTTTTCAAAAAGCTATCCTTTCACATTATTTTAATATGCTCAATTGTCATTCATCATAATTTTAGTGTCACCTGAGAAATAGCAAAAACTATATTTGTGCTTTTCTGTTTTGGGTTTATTTTTGAAATGTCTGTGGCTGGTAAAAGCAGTTAGAATTTGGTACTCCTCATATGTAGTTATTTATAGCACTGTTGACATTTAGAAATGCTAGGCACCCCAGTTACTTGTGTACACTAATTTTATCTTCCCTATTAAACTGAAAATTTTAAGACTCTAGATCTTATATGTTAATGTATCGTTGACATTTAGAAATGCTAGGCACCCCAGTTACTTGTGTACACAAATTTTATCTTCCCTATTAAACTGAAAATTTTAAGACTCTAGATCTTATATGTTAATGTATCTTTTATAGTTTCTGGCATACACTAAGTACTTAGGAGTTCATAGATTCATGAGCTAGACCCTCCTAGAGTTCAAGGGGACATTAGAGTTGAAGCTGCCTGCATATTTTTTATATAAATGAAGTCAAGATCGTGCATTTAGATTCTGTAGAGTTTCCTTTGTGCTATGGACACAGATTATCAACCATAAGCCATCTCATAATTGCAATATGGCCAACAGAAGTGGAAGATAGAATGCAGATCTAGCAACACACGTCATTGGCTATTATTGGAAAGCCAACCTGAAGATTTTGGAGATGGGCAGAATCTTAGATATCCAGTTTACGCAAAAGAAAACCAAAGTGTCTTTGTATATGAAGGACAAATTTATAATATTTTTAGAAATCCTCATTTTTCAAGGTAAAGAATACAAAGATAAGGTAGATATTTAGTTTGAAATTTAAAATAGGGATCCAAATAAAATCTTCACTGCAACAAAGTCAACATTTGACTAGAGGATACCATATTGGATAGTGCTCTTATAAATTAACAGGGATCTAGTATCATAACAGAAATTAATTGAACTCTACTTTATGGCAGGTATTGTGCTAATGCTTACTTAATATTAATTATCTATTAGTTTATTATGAAAGTTAAATCAATTAATACACATAAAGCATGTAGCACAGTACCTAGTCCAAGCAAAGCACGCACCAGTAGGTAATTTATTTAACAAACCTACAATGTAGATGCTATTTATTTAGTAGATAAGGAAACAGAGTATTTTTGGTGTTAAGTAACATGCCCTGAGGAATGTTTCCAGTAAAAGGCCAAGCTAGTATTCAAATCCAGGGAGGAATTTTTGTCATCTGAAAGCTCTAAGCTAGTAATTTCCTGTTGACTCCAAACCACGCTGATGAACCAAAGGTAGGTTTCTCTCTTAGAGTTTGCTGCAATTACTAGTGTGTATGTATGTGCCCAAAGGAATCACCACATCCTTCTCCCAGAAGATTTCTATCAGATCTTTTTTCCTTCACCCTTTCTTTGGATTGGATAGTGTAATGGAACATTAAAAATTTCTGTTGGTCAACAGAGAGTGCATAGGACCATTACTCAGTAGACCTGATGTAAATGTGTATGCGTACTTTCCAGTTGAGTTGCTAACAAATCACTTTACATTTTTGACCCTCACTTTCTTAATCTTGAAAATAGGCAAGTGCTCAAAGGCAGAGATTGAGACAAAGAACTGGGAAAGATCTTTGCCTGCTTTACAACATTAGGTTGTCAATGATGTATAAACAATACAGTATTTTTAAGGCACTTTTGAAAAATGCTAATGCATAATACAACTGAAAGCATTTTTTTCTAAATTACTGTCTTTGAACGTTAGTTAAAATATACTCAGATAATCCCTGAAAGCATCAATATTGTTGTGAATAGGAATATTTACACAATAACCGTGTACGACATATTGAATTATTAAGAAATGTGCTTATAACTCGTGCAATGGTACTCTGTTCTTTCCTTTCTGTTTTGAGTAGCTCTTTGGGGGAATCTCCAAACCATTAGCAAAAATGGACTACTGAAAGACAGACATAAATGAAGCTTATTATTTTTGCTATTTCCTCAAAGGACTTACCATTTCTAGCAGGTTCAAGAGTAGTCGGCTATGCTTTCTTACAATATTATAAGCTCGACAGCAAAGCTCCACAAAATCTTGGAAATGCTGTGGATTTTTCCCACCTTCTGTAATAAAGTACTCCATCTCTGAAGTAAAAATAAAAGGTGCTCTGTCCCTGTAAACCAAAGCAATAGCAATCATAAACAGGAGGAGAAATGGCTTATAGCATTAAATTAGTTACAACTTATTTCCATTTGAATTTTCTTTCTACTCTAATGGATGAACCTTTTTCACTGTGGGTCAGTTGAAGAAACTTGCTAATTGTAGGCTTTGAATAACTGGGCTTCATCACAGAGGAGCATTATTTAATAACGTTGACTTATATTATCTCAAATGTTTAATTCCAAATTATGTTTGGATGAGAATATTATTCATTAAAAATAATATAAGGGCCAATTGATAATGAAGGTGATATTTTTGCAAAGCCTTTACGGAAAGTATATTTACTGCTAAATTTTGAAAAGATAGAACTGATCATGGGTTTGAGCGCATAGTATTTTAAATAACTTTTTTTTTTTTTCTTAGAAGATATGCTGATCTTTTAGGAAAAAATTCTGGTGAAAGCTAAGATATTGTAATGACAAGTTTATTCAGAAGGCAATATAGGAGAAAAACAGATTTTACTAATTCACTGTCATATGTTTAATAAACTTAGAAGATATGCTGATCTTTTAGGAAAAAATTCTGGTGGAAGCTAAGATATTGTAATGACAAGTTCATTCAGAAGGCAATATAGGAGAAAAACAGATTTTACTAATTCACTGTCATATGTTTAATAAAGGGGACAAAAGAGCTATATTTCATTTCACACTAGACCCAGTAAATCTTGAAGAGAAAGGAGGAATATGAGACCAGGTTAATATGTAAGTAATATCACCCCCTGTAGTCTCCAGGATGGAAAAACAGGAAAATGAAGGACCAGGGAGAAGATGGTCCTGTTTCCCCCACCTTTGTAAGTTTTTTTTCTCATGCTATTTGAGACATGGACAGCCCTGAGATAAAGTGTTAGCACATATAATAAACACCAGCAGAGGGAGGGTTAGAAACCCCTGTCTTTGATGAGGTCTCACCCATAGAATAAGAACCATGATGAGACAGAGTTTTGATACCAAATTGGCCTAAGGTCTTCTAGAAGCACTTGAGATGGGAATACAGTTTTCAGTAAAAAGTTATTTGAAAAAAAATATTTTTGAATGAATTAAAATAAAACATATTTTAAAGCTGAGCCTAACAGCCTAGATACAAGTAAGGTTAGGTCAAGTCGTAATTGAAAAAAAGTCATGGATTATTGTGGGAGTCTCAATTACTTTTTAATAATAAAGTATAATTATGTTCTTTATCATTGCTATGCTTAGCTATTTTAATAAGAATATAATAAAGTGGGAAATCCCACTAATTTAAGTTAACTGGACCTTTTGAAAGTATGGTTATTCAAATCAGAAAGCCACAACTCAGGCATTTTATGGCATATCTTGGGCAATGGCCTCTAACTGCAGGCAAAGTATTTAAAAGAAAATAACCTACCTCCTTTTGGCTGTGGTTATTTTATTTTATTTTAAAATTTTACTTTGTAATCCATGCTACCATTAAGTGTCCAGAGGAAAGGCTGGAATACTAATACCTTCACTCAGCTTTGTATTTATACATTCAACAAAATTTGTTCAGCACCTACACTGAGGAGTGTATCTTAAGTCCAAATTCTTAAATTTTTGCTCAAAATCCTATTATATTTGGCTTTCATTGACTTATCCAACCTATAGTCTATGAATTCACTTTAAAAATCCTTTACTTCAGTCAAGCTGGCAGAAGAGATGTTGGAAACAGGAGACATAGCATAGGTTCTCATTTCTGGACCTGCTGTGTCTAGATTTCCTTATCTCTAAAACGGGTAGATAGGTATCTGGGGACTTCAGCAGCTCCAGGCAGCATTCTGCCAGACTTTCAGGTGGCAGAAAGTGCACCTCAGTACCCCAGAAGCTGCAGGCAGCCCCTGCCACTGCTGCAGACACCACTGCCACATGGGTGGTCCACCACAGCCACCTCCACAACTACTTCCACTGCAAGCGTGGCTCAATGCCACAGCAGCATCCACTACTGCCATTCAGGCAGCCAAGAGACCACTCAACTTCACTGACAAAGGAGATACAGCAGCAGAGCCTGGAGAAAGAGGCAAACAAGTGCAGCCCCACAACTCAGGAGGCCAAACCCACAGGGGGAATTATGCTGCTACATATGGTTGCACACCTGGGGGTGGGAAGTATGTGTACAGCCCACACGGCTGCCTTGATCCTGGGACAGACACATACAGAATCCACCAAGAGCGCAGAAACCAGGATACCCAAACACAGCAAGGAAGAGAATTCCCAATTAACACCAACCCATCCCCGACCCAGGGGAAGCAAGGACACAGGAAGAGCTTCTGCCTATAGAAAAGAGGAAAGAGAAACCCTGCCCAGGGTCACCTATTCAAACTGAGGAGCTCCAATATATCTCAGTGTACCCTTCAGGGTTTCAGTAAACTAATGGTGTGTCAACAAGTTTGCCCATGGTCACCCACCAAGCCAAAGACTGTCAGGGCACACAGGTGCTTCTCCCAAGAACTTGAGAGCTTGCCCACACCCCTAACAAACCAGCACAGTGTCACTAATCTCAGCAAGGAATCACTAAGTGCCCCAGTGCCTATGCCATGGAGGCACTCACACATAACTCCAGCGCTGAATATGGCCATATTACCCACACAGAGACTGTACTATGGCATCTACCTGGAACCAATGCTAAAACACATTACTCAATGGTCAATATAAAGCACATCTACAGGAAGAAGTCTGTCTCTTCAAAGTCCACTACAAAGTAATAGAAGAGGCAACTGCTCTACCAGATGACTTGTCATCAACATAGAGATAATAGAAGTATGAAAAAATAAGAAAATATCACACAAACAAAGGAATGCTGTAATTCTCAAGTACCAGACCCCATAGAGGAGGAATCCCTTGAAATGACTGAATAGGAATTCCAAGCAGCAATCTTAAAGAAACTCAATGAGATACAAGGAGACTCAATTAGACAACACAATGAAATGAGAAAAAGTATCCAAAATATGAAGGAGGAAATTTACAAAGAGATTAATACCTTAAAGAAGAATGCAGAACTCTTGGAACTGAAGGGTACATTCAATGAAATAAAAAACACAACTGAGAGCTTAAGCAGTAGGTTAGACAGAAGAAATAATTTCTTATCTTGAAGATGATCTTTTTGAAATAATGAGGGCAGACAAAAAAAAAAGAATTTTAGAAAATGAAGAAAATCTAAGAGAACTAGCAGACAATCTTAAGGACACAAACATCCAAATCATGGGTGTTAGGAAGAGGAAGAGAAAGGAAAAGTCATTGAAAACTTATTCAAAGAAATAATAGCAGAAAACTTCCCAGATATAGGGAGAGACACAAACCTTCAGATCCAGGAGGCTCAAAGATCCCCAAACACATTAAATCCAAAAAGATACTCTCTGAGACACAGTGTAGTCAGATTGGCAAAACTCAAAGACAAACAGAGAGTCTTAAAAACAGCAAGAGGAAAGTGTCAAGGCACTTAAAAGGGAGTCTCCATCAGAATTAAGGCAGACTCCTCAACAGAAACTCTACAAGCCAGAAGAGATGGGATGATGTATTCAAAATGCTAAAAGAAAAAAAACTCTGCAACCAAGAATACTATACTCAGCAAGGCTATCCTTCAGAAATGAGGGAGAAATAGTGTATTTCCCAGATAAACAAAAACTGCTGTAGTTCACCAACACATGACCAGCCTTGCAAAAAATCCTCAAGGGAGTCAATATTCTGGAATCCAAAAAATGAAAATCAGTACATACTCAACCAAGAATACTATACTCAGTAAGGCTATCCTTCAGAAATGAGGGAGAAATAGTGTATTTCCCAGACAAACAAAAACTGCTGTAGTTCACCAACACATGACCAGCCTTGCAAAAAATCCTCAAGGGAGTCAATATTCTGGAATCCAAAAAATGAAAATCAGTACCATGAATACACAAGAAGAACAAAACCTACTGGTAGAACAAAAATACAAGAAAGAGAAAGAACTATGTCTTACAATCCCCAAAACCCAACAGATATTGAAGACAAACAATAAAAGGGGAAAAAAAGAACAAAAGATATTTAAAACATCCAAACAAAAATTAATAAAATGCAAGGAGTAAGACATTACCTTTCAATAACAACACTGAATGTAAAAGGATTAAATTCTCCACTCAAAAGACATGGACTGACTGATTGGATTAAAAAGCTAGAACCAACTACATGCTCTCTTCAAAAAACTCATCTCACCTATAAAGACACACATAGACTAATACTGAAGGGATGGAAATGATATACCATGCAAATAGAAACCAAAAATGAGCAGGAGTAGCTATTCTTATATCAAAGTAGACTATAAACCAAAAATCATAAAAAGAGACAAAGAAGGCCATTATATAATGATAAAGGGATCTATCCACCAGGAAGACATAACAATCATAAATATATATGTACCCAATGCTGGAGCATCCAGATATATAAAGCAAACACTATTAGGCCAAAAGAAAGAGATAACCCCCAGAATGATAATAGTAGGGGACCTGAATCCCTGTCTCTCAGCGTTGGACAGATCATCTAGGCAACAAACCAATAGAGAAACACAGGATTTAAAGTACACAATATCAATTGGACTGGCAGATATCTACAGAACATTTCATTCAACAACTACAGAATATACACTCTTCTCAGCACATGGAACATTCTCCAAGATAGACCACATGTGAGGTCACACAGCAAGTCTCAGTAACTTTAAAAAAATCAAAATTATCTCAACTACCTTTTCAGACAACAATGTATTAAAACTACAAGTGAATAACACATGAAATTTAGGACTCTATCCAAATACATACAAATTAAACAACAGGTCCCAGAAAGACCTGGGGGTCCAAAAAAGAAATTAAACATGAAATCAAAAAGTTCTTGAAACTAATAATATAAAGTAATAAAATAAAGACACATCATACCAAAACCAATGAGATTCAGCATAAACAGTACTAAGAGGGAAGTTTATTGCAATAAAAGCTTACAT